TTAGATTTAACAGTTTTTCGTCCGGTTCAATCGGAGCGAACAGTTAGTATGACTTGAATGATTTTCACGACGGTAAATTTTTTGACCAGTCGGTCTGAGAAACTTAAGGTTTCGGATTATCATGCACACTCGTCCTACTTCAAGTTTTGATCGTATTCTGGAACACCAATTAGCTGTAATTTAACGCGCCTAAAAATATTTCGTCCGCGTTTTCGGAAACGACTTTATCAATCGAATAAAAGTGTAACGGTTCCGACTCTACCCTATCTAATACAATGGAATTAATTTTTGATTGTGTGTGGCGAGTATTGCTCGACCAGCACACGTGTTCTGTTCAACAATGACTACGTGTGAAAAAACAAAATCTTTTCAATCGTTTAAATCTATGACATACGAATACGAAAGGTGGGAAGTTAAATTTACTGAATTTTAAATTGAACTATTTACCTTTACTGTTTGAACTGGCAATTGATTCGAACCCAGTTTTAATAAAAAGTCTGAATATGTACTCTGGGTCGTCCCCTGTTAGGTTCATTGGGAAGTGCTCAAATTGAAAATTTTATTTTTTTCCCAAATTAACAAATAACTCCTGAGTATCGCTATGTTCGCGAGTAAAAACGTTTTTACGTAAAATATTAATTCATTGTTAAAGTAGTTAACGTCCATAACAGTTAACTTCCATTACACAGTGAAAATGGAAATAGCCAGTTCACCTGTTCGTTAAAATAAATTCAATGGAAGGCCCATTGAATTTATTTTAACCGCTATATTCGCTACTCGAAAATCACATGGCAATTCTTTTAGGAACAACTTTTGGTCCCGAGGTTTGTTCTCCAGTAAACTAAATCACCGTGCTTGCTGAAGAATCGAGTCAATATCAGAAACATCAAAAGCAGCCCGTTTTTTGATAACAGATAATGCGGAAGCACACGCTGACATGTTAACTTTTAGTGGCGTTTGAGCCTTAGCCCCTTTCGCTCCAGAGTTTTGGTGTGCATTCACCACTGAAGCGTCCGTCACAGGTTGCCCAGGGACCTGTGAACGGGAATGTTCACTGTGCCTTGTACGAGGTTCAGGCTGTGATTAACAGCCTCATACCCAGCCGAAAGTGCACACCCATATACGGTGCATGTCCCACATGATGTAGGAGCCTCTTTTGACGTTGTTCGAAATTATGTTGTCTAAAACAGGTGGACTTTTATTTTATATTAAGTCCACGTGGATTCGTTTGTGGTGGCTTATGTACCCAAACGATTACGTTTGACGTCATAGAAGTCGTCTTCTGATATTTTCTTGTAAAAAGATGAGTTTTTCCACTTCTAAGACGTCATCATCCCCACCTAGTAATTCTCTGTCGTGCGCTTCGGCCATCTCACAAACTTCTCTTAAGTAATGAAATACTTGAACCGCTGTTGTACGCGTTACACCTACTTCTTTAGTCGCCTTATGCAGCCTAAAAAAGTGAAATATTAATCGCAATGTGTCTAGGACCGACATCTTGCTTCGCTCAAAAAAAGTTTATTTCGTCGGCGTTAAAATATTGATGCACCCAGCTCTGCGACAACGCCAACGAAACCCGATTTTGTAGCCCGAGTGTCGCTCGTTGTGCGTACCGTCCTATATTTTCTGACGCCTAATAGCAACTGCATCTGATGTCAAAGAGCACAATGGTCGTTGCTGGCTCACTTGTGCCTTTGCTTTAAGTGCCTGAAAGGATTCCCCAGGAAACCCTGGATCTCCTTTTATATGGCTAATACAACTAGTCTTAAGATGAGGAAGGCATGTATTGAAAGTTTGTCTAACTTAGTTATACGCTTTTGGAGAATAATAATTCAGTGTCAGACAAAACAGGGGTATATTTAATATTATTCACATACATCACACGCGTAAATAAGAAAACTTACGTAGGCGGAGGCCGCCATCTATGAATGAAAATTGGAACTGTTAGTTTCCAAGGCGTGGCGCAATTACAATACATTTTTACCTTAATCTAAACAAATATTCTTTTAAGTTTTTTTTTCTCTTTAGATTGTTGAATAACTCACTGCTACGTTTTCCTGTAGTCTATACCGGTTCAATCTTCCCTTCCCTCTTATTTTCCTAACAATGACATGAAACTTTGAGGTGTATTTCCTCGTGCTACAGTCAAGTATTGTTTTGCACTTTTCAAGTAATTATAAATGGAAAAGGTGTCTCCGTTATAGGATGGGACGAACTTAATCAAAACACTAGGATCTATGGTCGGCATATTCGCCTGCTTTAATATTTGAATTAGTTAACAGTAACTACGTTTTCCTTTAGTCTATTCTATTAGATTTCACAGTTTTTCGTCCGGTTCAATCGGAGCGAACAGTTAGTATGACTTGAATGATTTTCACGACGGTAAATTTTTTGACCAGTCGGTCTGAGAAACTTAAGGTTTCGGATTATCATGCACACTCGTCCTACTTTTAGTTTTAGATTGTATTCTGGAACACCTCTTTTGGCTGCAATGTAACGCGCCTAAAAATATTTCGTCCGCGTTTTCGGAAACGACTTTATCAATCGAATAAAAGTAACGGTTCCGACTCTACCCTATCTAACATTGTTATTACAGATTGATATTGTGCTGTGTACTATCCTTAAATAAATAAATAAATAATACAATGGAATTAATTTCCAGCGTTTTGATTGTGTGTGGCGAGTATTGCTCGACCAGCACACGTGTCCTGTTCAACAATGACTACGTGTGAAAAAACTAAATCTATTAAATCGTTCAAATCTGTGACATACGATAGGTGGGAAGTTAAATTTACTGAATTTTAAATGGAACGATTTACCTTTACTGTTTGAACCGGCAATTGATTCGAACCCAGTTTTTTAAAAAAGTCTGAATTCTGTCTGGGTCGTCTCTTTTTCGTTGGAAATTAAAAATTTTAATTTGTTCCCAAATTGGTGAGGACTTAACTGAACAGTTGATAATGTCAGAGTTAGTTTTAGCTTTAACTACGACAGGAGGTATCTGACGGAAATATCCTGCGAAAATTACGATTTTCCCACCAAAAATCTTGTTACACTTCATCAAATCGCGGAGAGACCTATCAAGTAGGTGAATTAAATATTTGTGAGCCATAGGGGGGGCTTCGTCGTAAATAATCACGTCAGCTTGTCGAACAAGCTCAGCGCACTGCAAACCATTGGTAATGCTTCAGTAACCAAGATCATCTATAGGGTTGAGGGGGGGGGAATTTAAACATGCTATGTGCTGAATTTCCGCGTGCGTGTTCAGTAATTACATTTAAGAGCAAAGTTTTACTTGTTCCGGCAGGCCCGTCTATAATTAATGGCAGTATTGTTAGAGTTTCGGAACTTGCTGTCACTCAAAAGAGTGTGAATATAACGATACACGAGGTTTTGGTCGGGGCATAATTTTGGTAGCCAGCTACTCACGAACGTATTTAACTCGTCGCGATTATATTCGACGCGCTCGCGGCCTACTTCGGTCGAATCGTCAACGCCCGGTAACCCTTGCTCGACAAGGGATGTCCCATGTTAACGCAATAACCGGTCGATTTAGACGAGACATAGTTTGTACGCTTTTTTGCGTCATCGGATAAACGCTGCAAAAAATCCTGACCAATTAAATGTTTGTACTTATCCCACAAAGAAGTCTTGTCAAAAATTTATTGTTTCTTAATTCAAAGATTTCAAAGTTTTTAGTGGTGGGACGTCGCGAATGAACAATATACCGCTCGTAAAAATCTAAGTACGTTAAGTTATCCAACTGTTCACCGATTCTGCTTCGGTTCCCGGTTTGAAAAAGATGGATTGTTGGCCCTCAAGATGTACGGCGAGGTGCTTTGCGTTCGGTTCGCGAGCTGTGATATCAAATTCTGAAGTGCGCCACGTCGCTTGTAACAACAAACTTTGGTGAGCCGGCTTATACATCGTTGGGACAATGTCTATCGATTTTAAAGAAACTCTTTCAAGAATTACGACAGGTTTTAAGGTGGTTAATTTCGCGTCGCGTGGTCCGAGTGGGACGACGGGACTTCAGTTTTCATATAGCGCAAAATTGACTACAGTTAATCTATGTGTGGAGTATTGCGTCGAGGTGTACGCTTATCCTATGAACAATAATTTAGCGAGATCATCAATGTTTTGGCAACAAAACAAACGTGCTTTGTTATGGTTTTCGTCCTGATGATTGTATTTATTATTTTCGCGTGACTATTCGGTAAAATTGGTTGGCAAACCAAAAAGAAACCGTAGAATTATCGCGGTGAACAAATAACTCCTGAGTATCGCTATGTTCGTGAGTGAAAACGTTTTAACGTAAAATATTAATTAATTGCTGAAGTAGTTAACGTCCATAACAGTTAACGTCCATTACACAGTGAGAATGGAAATAGCCAGTTCACCCGCTCAAACCCAAACATTTTATTTGCCATTAAGTAGGGTACAGGTACAGATGGAATACAGGAAAAAGCTCACTATCCTACTCAGCCAATTACATATTGCATGCAAATATCATGAAGCTCGTGCCTTCCATTGAATTTATTTTAACCGCGATATTCGCTACTCGAAAATCTCATGTCAATTCTTTTAGGAATAACTTTTGGTCCCGAGGTTTGTTCTCCAAGTAAATTAAATCACCGTGCTTAAGAATCGAGTCAAAATCAGTAACATCAAAAGCAGCCCGATTTTTGATAACAGATAATGCGGAAGCATTAGCCACTTTCGCTCCAGATTGTTGGTGTGCATTCACCACTGAAGCGTCCGTCACAGGTTGCCCAGGGACCTGTGAACGGGAATGTTCACTGTGCCTTGTACGAGGTTCAGGCTGTGATTAACAGCCGGTTGCTCCCTCATACCCAGCCGCAAGTGCACACCCATATACGCGCGGTGCATGTCCCACATGATGTAGGAGCCTCTTTTGACGTTGTTCGAAATTATGTCGTCTAAAACAAGTGGACTTTTATTTTATATTAAGTCCACGTGGATTCGATTGTGGTGGCTTATGCACCCAAACGATTACGTTTGACGTCGTAGAAGTCGTCTTCTGATATTTTCTTGTAAAAAGATGAGTTTCGTCCACTTCTAAGACGTCATCATCCCCACCTAGTATCTCTCTGTCGTGCGCTTCGGCCATCTCACAAACTTCTCTTAAGTAATGAAATACTTGAACCGCTGTTGTACGTGTTACACCTACTTCTTTAGTCGCCTTATGCAGCCTAAAAAAGTGAAATATTAATCGCAATGTGTCTAGGACCGACATCTTGCTTCGCTCAAAAAAAGTTTTTTTCGTCGGCGATAAAACATTGCTGCACCCAGCTCTGCGATAACGCCAACGAAACCCGATTTTGTAGTCCGAGTGTCGCTCGTTGTGCGTACCGTCCCATATTTTCTGACGCCTAATAGCAAGTGCATCGAATGTCAAGAGCACAATTATGGTCGTTGCTGGCTCACTTGTGCCTTTGCTTTAAGTGCCTGAAAGGATTCCTCAGTAAACCCTGGATCTCCTTTTATATGGCTATACCACTTGAGTCTTAAGTTGAGGAAGTCAAAGTCAAAATGTGTTTATTGCATTTCATGAATGAATGAAGGCATGTATTGAAAGTTTGTCTCACGTAGTTATACGTTTTTGGAGAATAATAGTTCAGTGACAGACAATACTTTTACAACAGGGGTATATTTAATATTTTTCACATACTCACATACGATAATATACCATATGAAAATTTGAACTTTTAGTTCCCAAGGTGTGGCGCTATTACGCAAAGTACAATGCTAGGTCCCGATGATGACGTCTTAGAAGTGGACGAAACTCATCTTTTTACAAGAAAATATCAAACGTAATCGTTTGGGTGCATAAGCCACCACAAACGAATCCACGTGGAGTTAATACAAAATTATAAGTCCACCTTTTTTAGACAACATAATTTCGAACGTCAAAAGAGGCTCCTACATCATGTGGGACATGCACCGCGCGTTGATTTCGAGCTCATTTGTCGTGTTTTCGGACAATCAAGTTGGGATACCCAAGAAACTGTCCCATGACGTAGATACTGTATTGTGGCTTCTCTTTGACTATGAAAAATGGAATAATCACCAATGTGATTGGCTATGATGATGGAATCCTATGTGTCTTGTCCATTCGACGTATCTAACATCTTCTTCATTACAGTGTTTAGTGTTTCGTAGGTTTTGCGAGTAACGTTTAACCGCGTCCCTATTCTGGGTAGCATATTCTTGACAGCCTCTTGCTGGGGTGGGGTCCGGCACATCAGTTGGAATGTCACTGAAATTGAATATTGTATAAGAACAGAAAATAAACCTTATGTTGTCCTATATTCAAAGTTTAAAAAATATGTAATAATAATGTTTAATAACTTACATTGGAACCGACGGCAGCCCAGCATCGTCAGTGCTCCACGCTCCCACATGCTCTCGGATGTTGGTACTAAAACATAAATTAAATACATTAAGTCAATACTAAAATGGACACATAATCATAAAAACAGGGTTTCATTTAAATACATACACAGTTGCCGACGGCAAAATTCTCTTTCGTTTGGGAGCGTGGAGCGGCCGCTCCAGGCCACTGCCACGCGGCACCTCCCTGATATCCAGGCTGCTCATCCTAAAATGAAAATAACATTCGCATCAACTATTTGTTATCTATATGGGTATGACAATATTAAACAAAAATGCTGATAAATTAAAACTATTCTAAAATAATAATAACAGTGACTTGAGTAAAATCATTCACTTTGCGTGGAATAATAATAAAATTGATCATTACATTGTACATTTTTTAATTAAGACCATATAAGTGAATCAAGACACACACACACAAAACAAAGTAAAATATTCATTATACAAATATTATATGTGTTATAGAATGCTGTTTGTTTTCCTAACAATAAAATAAAATAAAAGGCGGTAATTACGGTTCCAAGACTGATGGCCGGCCTGTGCCACCACTACCGCCGCCACGTGCGCGTACGCCACCACGCGTACGACCTCCTCTCATTGCACTATAATAACATGCAAAAAAAAAACAAATGAGCAAAGCAAACTCAAAAACAAAATATAAGTAAAAATAAATTGGCATGAAATAAAAAAAGTATGGTACTTTTGCACTCATCACAGCTTTTTTCTTTGAAAATTGCAACAACCTCACAAAGTAGATAGAATTGAAGATTACTTACCGTTCCATGATTTTATTTCCGCCGACGTTATTTATCGTGGACGGAAAGGAGGGGAAATGGCGGAATGGAAATAGAGTAACTTTGATGACAGATAACTAGCATTTGAGGAATAATTCTGCATATTATTAATGTACCATCGGCAACAGTGCGTTTTCAGTTTGTACTGAATTATAATTATTTATAATGGAACACTTCCTGTTTCAACTGGGAAGCGGTCGGCATGGTACTCTTAATTCTCTATTATCCCCATATTCAGATTCAAGACAGTTTTCTATTATATTGCAGACAAAATTATGATTTATCATAGTCACAATTTGGGATGCTCTTCCCTCTTATTTTTCTAACAATGACATGACATTTTGAGGTGTATTTCCTCCTGCTATAGTCAAGTATTGTTTCGCACTTTTCAAGTAATTATAAATGGAAAGGTGTCTCCGTTATAGGATGGGACGAACGTTATCAAAACGCTAGGATCTATGGTCGGCATATTCACCTGCTTTAATATTTGAATTAGTTAACAGTAACTACGTTTTCTAGTCTATTAGATTTAACAGTTTTTCGTCCGGTTCAATCGGAGCGAACAGTTAGTATGACTTGAATGATTTTCACGACGGTAAATTTTTTGACCAGTCGGTCTGAGAAACTTAAGGTTTCGGATTATCATGCACACTCGTCCTACTTCAAGTTTTGATCGTATTCTGGAACACCAATTAGCTGTAATTTAACGCGCCTAAAAATATTTCGTCCGCGTTTTCGGAAACGACTTTATCAATCGAATAAAAGTGTAACGGTTCCGACTCTACCCTATCTAATACAATGGAATTAATTTTTGATTGTGTGTGGCGAGTATTGCTCGACCAGCACACGTGTTCTGTTCAACAATGACTACGTGTGAAAAAACAAAATCTTTTCAATCGTTTAAATCTATGACATACGAATACGAAAGGTGGGAAGTTAAATTTACTGAATTTTAAATTGAACTATTTACCTTTACTGTTTGAACTGGCAATTGATTCGAACCCAGTTTTAATAAAAAGTCTGAATATGTACTCTGGGTCGTCCCCTGTTAGGTACATTGGGAAGTGCTCAAATTGAAAATTTTATTTTTTTCCCAAATTAACAAATAACTCCTGAGTATCGCTATGTTCGCGAGTAAAAACGTTTTTACGTAAAATATTAATTCATTGTTAAAGTAGTTAACGTCCATAACAGTTAACTTCCATTACACAGTGAAAATGGAAATAGCCAGTTCACCTGTTCGTTAAAATAAATTCAATGGAAGGCCCATTGAATTTATTTTAACCGCTATATTCGCTACTCGAAAATCACATGGCAATTCTTTTAGGAACAACTTTTGGTCCCGAGGTTTGTTCTCCAGTAAACTAAATCACCGTGCTTGCTTAAGAATCGAGTCAATATCAGAAACATCAAAAGCAGCCCGATTTTTGATAACAGATAATGCGGAAGCACACGCTGACATGTTAACTTTTAGTGGCGTTTGAGCTCTAGCCACTTTCGCTCCAGATTGTTGGTGTGCATTCACCACTGAAGCGTCCGTCACAGGTTGCCCAGGGACCTGTGAACGGGAATGTTCACTGTGCCTTGTACGAGGTTCAGGCTGTGATTAACAGCCGGTTGCTCCCTCATACCCAGCCGCAAGTGCACACCCATATACGCGCGGTGCATGTCCCACATGATGTAGGAGCCTCTTTTGACGTTATGTTGTCTAAAACAGGTGGACTTTTATTTTGTATTAATTCCACGTGGATTCGTTTGTGGTGGCTTATGCACCCAAACGATTACGTTTGACGTCGTAGAAGTCGTCTTCTGATATTTTCTTGTAAACTCCACTTCTAAGACGTCATCATCCCCACCTAGTATTTCTCTGTCGTGCGCTTCGGCCATCTCACAAACTTCTCTTAGGTAATGAAATACTTGAACCGCTGTTGTACGCGTTACACCTACTTCTTTAGTCGCCTTATGCAGCCTAAAAAAGTGAAATATTAATCGCAATGTGTCTAGGACAGACACCTTGCTTCGCTCAAAAAAAGTTTTTTTCGTCGGCGATAAAACATTGCTGCACCCAGCTCTGCGATAACGCCAACGAAACCCGATTTTGTAGTCCGAGTGTCGCTCGTTGTGCATACCGTCCCATATTTTCTGACGCCTAATAGCAAGTGCATCGAATGTCAAGAGCACAATTATGGTCGTTGCTGGCTCACTTGTGCCTTCGCTTTTAATGCCTGAAAGGATTCCTCAGTAAACCCTGGATCTCCTTTTATATGGCTATACCACTTGAGTCTTAGATGAGGACGCGGACGGCATGCATTGAAAGTTTGTCTCAAGTCGTTATACAGATTTGGAGAATAATAGTTCAGTGTCAGATTATTCACATACATCACAGCAAACTTCCGTAGGCTGAGGCCTGCGGAATGAAAATTGGCACTGTCAGTTCCCAAGGCGTGGCGCTATTACGCAAAGTGCAATACATTTTTGCCCTTAATATAAACAAATTCTTTATTAGTTTTTTTCTATTTAGATTGTTGAATAAGTCAACAGTTACTACGTTTTCCTGTAATCTATTAGATATCACAGCTTTTCGTCCGGTTCGATCGAATCAAAAATTAATTTGTTTCGCCTGGCTTGCGAACAGATATTATACGTGGCGTAGTTTTCACGACGATAACTTTTGTGCTGTGGACCAGTCGGTCTGAAAATCTACGGTTTCTGATTACCATGCACACGCATCCTACTTCAATGTCAAGATCCACATTGACGGGATAAACGAATGCTATGCCTCATGATCCGTTGTCGGGGCCGTGTTCCTCACGTATGCTATCGCGTCTTCTTCGGTAAGTGTAATTCGCACATTGAGTGGTGGTCGAAGGGTAGCCGCCTTTTGCAGTAACTCATTGAATTCAAGCCTATCAGTTTGTAAGTAAGGAAGTCCATCGAGATTCATGTGCAAGTGAACCAACCGTGGAAGCAGTCTTTGGGCGTTATCAGGGGTAAGATATCCATGTTCCTCTATGATATGGTTGTAACCCTTATCTACATTGCTTGTGAGTATAATGTAGAGGGCAGAACGAGACCCTGTCTTAGATGAGCTCGGTGGCATGTGAGCCAATTTGTATAGCTCGTAAGCCTTGTTACAAGATAGAAAAGTGTCTATAAGCACATCATAGGGAGTCTTTCGGCACGTCACCAGTATGTTGTCCAATAATGATGCACCCTCTTTTATGAAGTCTCTATTATAGAGCATCATATAGAAAACCATACATGGAAGCATTATGTCCAATCTGCAGTGTTGAAACTCTGTCAAGTTGACAAATGAGACCCTATAAGTTTCCTCAAGAGCACGATTCTCCAAGCTGGTGAAGAACTCCTCCTTTGATAGGTTGAGGATCCATGCAGTAAATTTGTGGGCCATATGAACTGAGTAGCTGACAATGGGATCTGTCACATCCTTAGGGTCAACAAGATAATGATCTTCTGTTGGGGTCAAATGACTGATAAATGACGTGTGACAGAGGGGGATGTAGCTACTGCGGCTCATTTCGAATGTTTCAGGGGGTAGCTCCCACACACAACACTTCGATTGGATGATTATTGCATTGCGCTGGGGTAGGTATCTGTGGCTGTGGTAAATGTTAGCCAATCTCGCCACTCCTGTCAGGAATATCTCTTGCCAACATAAGTTATAGTTGGTAGCTTGTTTCGCATATTGGAGGGCTGTGTCAGAGATTACCCGCAGCCATGAACATATCGTAGAGTTCATGTTAATCATGCCTCCGCGTCGTAATGCGGGACATGGGAGGCGATGAGTGAGAAGACCGGAGTACACCTTATTGGTGAAGCGGTCCAGTGTCTCTTTCGGTAGGTTGGTCTTTTCTCCTATTAGTTTGTCAATAAGTTCAAGCATTGCACTATTCCCTTTGAGCCAGCTTCTAAGCTCCATTAAAGATTTGACAGATTCTACGAGAGAGCCTATCTCTGCGACTTGGAGAGCGGATCGCCGGGCTCTTAACCTAGTCTGGGAGCCTATGTAGGGGGTATTAGGGCCTCTTTGCTTAACTAGGTCAACCTCTGTGGGTGCTGTGCATTCGACATAAATTGCAGATGTGGTGAGCGATTCAGGCACGGAGTTCCAGGGCACAATATTTATCAACTCCTGCATAGGAGCCATTGTGATACCCTCAAGGTCCAATTGCCAGAGATGCTCTCTGAGTGCCTGAGCAAAGCGGGTGACGCAAGGGGTATCACGAAGCTTGTCCAAGATGTCCTGTGCTCGTGCAGGAGGAGCGCGTCTGAAGAAGTCTTCCTGCCGTTTTTCAAGTGCCTGTATAGTAATCAACATGTCTCTCTCGCTGATCCAGTTGTCGAGAGCTGCCTTTTGTATGGATCGTGAGGAGGAAAACTCCTAAAACCTTTTCTTGCTGACCCAGATTTGATAGTTGCCATAACTTATTCATAAGTTTGGGATGATGTGGTTCGATAGAAAGGATGTCACCTTTGAGAGTTTCTTCACTTTCCGCGGAGTCCCGGGAAAACAAGTAGGCCACTTG